TTAAATTTTTTAATTAATATATAATATAAAAATAGTAAAATATAGTTAATGTTATTTATTTTATGGCAACAAAAACCATTCTTATGTTCATATAATATATAATATATATATAAATGATTTAACTTATTTCCGAAAGAAACTATATATTATAATTAAACAAGAAAATTTTACTTCAGAAAACTTTTTTTATTTCGTTTTAGTTGAGACTTTAAAAAGTAATTTTCATAAGTTGATAAAATTTATTATTCATTTTTTAGTGGAGAAAAAAGTAAATGTACTTTAGATATGTTCGGAGTTTGTAAATTATTCGAAATTTTTACAAGTTTTACTACTTCGTGAGAGTTATATAAAGTTATTTATTACAGAAACAACGAAGGCTTTAGTATATTCCTCAGATTTTTTTCTTTTTTTTTATAGATTTAAGGCTGATATGTAAGTTCCGAAACGTGAGAAACAAAATTTGTATGTCTTACCTTGCATCTGATATATTTATATGCATCTATATATATGTATATATAGTAGTAGAATGTTTTGAATAGGAACAAGAAAGAAAGGGGAAATAAAAAGAAGAAAAAAAACAGGTCTTATAGATAAGATGACCTTGTTTACATTAAGAATCCGACAAATTCACAAATGTTTCGTCTTTTTTTTTAAATATTACTGATACTTCAAAGTATCCTGAACACGAGTAATAAATTATTTAAAGTTATAAGAATAAATAAAATGGTTTTTTAAAAGTAACTAAATCGTTTGTAATATTTTAATGATCTTATTTAAATTTCAATACATTAAAATGCAATTTTCTTCTTTAGTTAAAATTCAGAAATAAATTCAGATTAAGAAAAATGTAAAATATTGTCTTATTTAAATGTGATTCTTTTTATTTTTAACGTTGATGTCGAAGCATTGCCGAGGTACGAAGGAAATTAACAATTACATTATTGTGTCGAATTCAATCTCAAATATATTTTTATTGATCTAGTTAACAAACGTTTCGTTTTTACTTTAAATTTTAATGGAGACGTGATTTAAGATATCTAAAAATTAATATACAATAAAGAATTTTATTAATAGTACTATTGTCTTCTAATATTTATTTTAAATACATTATATATTGATATATATATATATTAACCTTGATCAATGTTAAATGAATCTAGAAGGTTGCTTGTAAATTTTAACAAGCAACAATTTACTCATTAGATCAAGTTTTTAGATCCAATTTAAAACAAATTTATTTAATATAAAATAATTATACTAGTTTAAAAAGATATATAAAAATACGTCTTTTAAATTTAACATTAAAGTTTTTTGTAGCACTCAAATAATAGAGAAATTTTTTTAATATTGTAAGGATATTTACAAAATGAAATAATTAAATATTTAAAATATTTCATATTTTAATAATAATAAAAATAATAATTGCAAATAATTAACAAGATCTGAAAGAGATGTGATGGGCCTCACAGAAGTGGGCCTCGGGAGCTATCCATAAATTACGTAATACGGATATGCAGGGAATTATTACGATGCGTTACGAAGAGTGAAGAGTGAAGGTATTTACAAAAACTTCACGTAATGCTGTCTCAACTCTTGGTAACATTGATTCATTTTTGCATAGAGTTGCATAGATAATTGTATTATATCACTGCTTTGTACGTTATAAATGTAATTAATAAAATAATGTAACGTTTGGTATCCCTTACTGTGTATTAATACTTAGAATAATTAAAGGGTTGATGTAGAATATGCGTTACGTAACTTTGGGGGTGGGTATGTGAGACAGAGTTACAGAGCGTTACAAGGGATGAGATAGTAGTTGAACAGTATAAAAATAGCGTTACGTTATCTATGGAAGTTCCCTTACTCCCTTCAAAATCCGTAAAATACTAAAATTTATATCACTTTCTTACTATGTTTATTTACAGAAATGGCTAAAACATAAAGGTCATCCGGCCCACCTTAATAAACTTTTAAAATTTAGCATGGTTGTTCCCTATCTGCTTGGAGTCCTGGCCAAAGCCATCTACTTGTTCTTATTAATTAATTATTGATGTTATTCATTAAAAATTATTTAACTGTTTCAATTAATATATGCTACGACAAATAATTTCTATTATTATAAACAGAATAAAGTTAACTTTAAAAGCATTCGAAAACGTACATGTCTTGTCATCTCAATCCTACGCTGTCGGTTATTTGTATATTTATAGAAATTTTCACATTATTTATTCATAAAAGCAATAAATTTTTGACATCCAAATGATGTTCTTGATATAATTTTAAATTCCGAAGAATTAAAATTTTACTTGAAATATTATTATTGTGTTACTGCATACGTATACTGTAATTTAATATTAATTATTTATTTACATTTATGTCCTTAACATTAAAAATGTAATTTTTAACATTTAAAAATTGAGTTTTTAAAAATTTGTTAAATGTTAAAAGTAAAAAGTTTCCTAATTTATTATTTTTAATTGGAATATTATTTACAGTTTATATTTTAAAATACGTTAACGGGATGTATTATATAATATAGGTTGATTTTCTCGGTATTGAACACCTATTATGTAGAATATCTTCGTATAAAATGAAAAGATGAACACGAAACTCGAACCAAACGATTCATTATTTGAGGACAAAGGTATGTTTTACATTAGGTCTACTTGTTATTTAAACGTGACTATGCAATCACAAGAGAGATTGAAAGATGATGCTGTGTGTGAATTTTGTGTATTCCTGAGCAGGTCCTTCGACTGCATGTTGGTTTTTGCCTTACCCTAGTTAAGAAGCGAAAAATTGCTTATAAATTAACATAATTATGCGTTTTAGTTATTTTATTTCCTTATTTATCTATTGTGTATGAATAAATTTGCGAACTATAAACACGCATTATAACAGAAGAGATTCTACAGATCAGAATCGATTGGATAAGTAGAATTCCGTTATGGTAATTGAAAATGAAAATTTAACATGAAATGATATGTTTAAAAGCTGGAAATTTTGCGTATAACATTACTTACGGATAAAGAAAACGAATACGTGATGCCAGTGCCATAACTAGCTTTTCACGTGTCCTCTTTTTTTTGGGGGGGAAGTATTGCGATTGAAACGGTTGAATATTTCTAAACCTTAACCAAAAACGTTATGGAATCAGCTTCCACTGTGAAAAATTTAGAATTTGAAAATAAAAATATAATACTTATCATTTTTTGATATTCCATCCTCCCCGTCATCCTGGGCCCTTTGCCTGTGTACCCATTGCACCTACGTAGTTACGGCACGGTGGTGTTCAAATGTTGATTACACCATTTTTAAAAACTGTTTTATTAAGATGTTTTATTTTTCATTAAATTAAATCTAATATCAGAAAGATTAACGTATCAGAAGCAATAAATATTATAAATAAAGACAGTAATCTGAAGCTGAAAGGTTGTAAATATTATACTAAATACTAAATTTGTACACGATTTCTATCAAGTAATTTTCTTTCTAACAAACGAATCTTCTGTTAAATACCTATGATTTTGCTTAAGGCTTCATGCTCATAAAAGTCTCCAAGATGCTTGCTGATACTCAGTCTTAGTAGAGTATTCGGAATCTAATACTAGTGGGCTACATTTTATACAATATCAAACATGCGCTAAAGGTTTTATATTATATACACTTATATTCAATTGAAAATTGGTTATCTGAAATTAATGGGATCAAGGGTCTTTCGGATAATCCAGTAACTCGTTTGCTTTTGTGTTTTGAGTACATGTTACGTATATGGACGTATATACAGTAGACCCCCTTTAAAACGGGTTCCTATAATTACGATTCCTATAAGACAGCGAAAAAATTGCGACGGTATCCGTAAAAAACGGTAAAAAAACTCCTATAATTACGTAAAACGTCATCGGGCAGCCGAACTACTTTCCGCGCCTTCAAGCGCCACGCTACGGAGAGATTACTATCGTCTGTACAGTATTATACCTCACAGAAGTGGGCCTCGGGAGCTATCCATAAATTACGTAATACGGATATGCAGGGAATTATTACGATGCGTTACGAAGAGTGAAGAGTGAAGGTATTTACAAAAACTTCACGTAATGCTGTCTCAACTCTTGGTAACATTGATTCATTTTTGCATAGAGTTGCATAGATAATTGTATTATATCACTGCTTTGTACGTTATAAATGTAATTAATAAAATAATGTAACGTTTGGTATCCCTTACTGTGTATTAATACTTAGAATAATTAAAGGGTTGATGTAGAATATGCGTTACGTAACTTTGGGGGTGGGTATGTGAGACAGAGTTACAGAGCGTTACAAGGGATGAGATAGTAGTTGAACAGTATAAAAATAGCGTTACGTTATCTATGGAAGTTCCCTTACTCCCTTCA